GGAGTCCTGGGGGAGCCTGATGATTTTTTGACATCCGGACAAGCAGATGTTCAGAGGACATGAATAAAACATACAGCCCATCTGACCAGAGACCGAAGACTTTCAGAGTGTCTAATGAAATCTGAGGCGTGATTTCAATTCCTCTTTCTGATAAGTGTGATGCTGAATGAAATATGTATGATATTTATGTAGCCTGGCCTGGGTGGCTAAGTGGGGTTCAATTGTTTATCGCAATCAAAGCTGAGACAGGTTTGTCAGAGGAGGTTTGTGATGAATGGGAAGGGAAAGTGAATGGACCTCTCATTACCGGCCAGGAATACAAACAGAATTATTATGTGACCATTGACACCTAAGTGTTTAACAACGGCTAAAACAGCATGTGTGCCGGGCAGCGGATAAGATGCATGTCCTTCAGTACTTTTCACACCTTCTGCTCTTTCAGAAATGAGTGTTCCTTTTTTCTTTTCCAACAGAATGAATAAGCGGGGCTCAACAGTTCAGCTCAGCAGGGGGGCAACAGAATGTGTTACCGCACCACCCACTCAAAGCCGGTCCTGTACTGTATTTAAGATGGAGAGGCAATCAAAATAATCCAGGGCGGGACTTGAGTTTCATACTGGAGAGCAGCTATTTTCATTCAAAATCAAAGTCTTTGTGTTGTGTTGTTTCATTTTATTATGCGTCTCCAGTCTACAGCCAAACAATACCTTTAAAACCTTTATTTTGATTTACTAATTTCCTTGTTTCAGTGTGCTGCTGGTAATTTAACAGTGTGCGTTCATGTAGCCTATACTCTGGGTGGATTTTTGAAAGAATACACGTAAGGTCTTAACATATTTTACAGTGAAATCTTTCCACTGGAGGGATAACTAAGCCAAATAACGGTTATTTAAAGCCTCAAACATTTCAGGTCACTTGTAAAATTAAATTTAAGGGGGCCCTATTATGCTTGTTTTTTCTATTGCCTAGCGATCTAACACATTGTACCTGATAGGCTAAGCGGCTGGACCCTCTAAGAGGTTGACTTATCACAACAGAACCGGCCAGATAACCAATCAGAGCAGACTGGGCTCTGGTTTCAGACAGAGGGTGAAAAGAGTTGCAAATATGAAACGGAAAATTAGCATAATAGGGCCCCTTTAAAACAATTGAATAATCTGACAACAATGTAAGAATATTTCACTTGTTTTCCGTACATGTTTCAGAAATTACCATTGCAATTTCCACACTGTAACATACAAATATCCTATAAAATACTAGAGTAAAACAAATACCGAATAGATTATTTTGTACACTGCTTTTAGAAAGCAATCTGAGGACCGGCTTATAAACCATGACATACTTAAAAGGGTCAATTTGATCTGTCATAGTATAGAAACACTTCAAACAGTCTTTTTTATGACTTTATATCTGTGAGGAACATAAAATGAAATAAGAAAATACTGTGGCTGTTTGGTGGTGTGTGTAACTGTCTCTCAGGAAATGCTCGCCCCCTGCAATCCAGGGCCGGTTTTATTTGCTCACAATAAAACGTTATGTATTGCAACCTGGAGAACAGGATTACAACAAAGGATTATAACAAAACCAAATCCCCTGTGCAACCAAAAAAACAAGTAGATTGATTTTCATCGAGATGTCAATCGATGAGCCGTTTCGTTCATGGTGTCAGCAGGCGTAGTGTCACATTTTCTGCCGATGAGATTGAGCGGCAGTAAGGGGCTTAGTGGCAAATACAATCGAGGAGTGTAAACATACAGAGGGCTGCAAGAGGCAGATCAATGGCTCCAGTCTGGGATTGATTAATTACCCCAAGAAAGAGACTGAGGTGTGAGGGCACTGGAGAAACCTGATCAGAACAAGATTTATCACCCGATCTCTGCATCATCTCTCCCTCCTTCTCACTCTTTGCTCCTTTTTACTTTTTCTTTTAAAGCTGCCCTTCTCCATTGACTTGAGTTTGTCATTTGAGATTGTGAATGACTTTGAAAAAGAATGATAAGCTTAGCCTTTAGCCTAGGATATGGCTTCAAATTATGATCCTCTGAGTAATTCAATTGTATCAATTGAGCTATATAACCTATAGAGTTTTAGAATATAGGCAACAAATATTTATTTATAACTACTATCTATAATAAATATCTAATGTTGCAGTGCCATGAGGGAGTTCCTTAACTTTAAGGTAATTACTGTTCAAAAGGTTAAGAATGAACTTTGACACTTCATTTTAGATTAAATCTTCACAGGCTACTCTGGGGGATATTAAGATAAGACGACGAACGCCACTCTAGCATGTTAAATATAATTCTACAGCCCAAAGCTTAGCACAGGGGTGTCCAAACTACGGCACGGTGGTCCATTTTTAATTGGCTCGCAGCTAAATCTAAAAGCATAATTGAATATGACCCACACATGAAACTTGTGCTTGTCTTATATTGTACTTCTTAAATGTAAATGTAAAGATAAGCCCACTTCTCAAATAAATTCATACAATTAAAGTTGAAAACATTTTCAAACAAATCTTAGTTGTTTAAAAAAAGCCCAATAACTTATTTACATAACAAGCTTGAACTATACCATTCCTATTGCCCCTTATTATAAGCAATCTGAGTTCTGTTTTAAGCTTGAGCTGCCAAATAATAAATTAAACCCTATGGAAAGCTGTGATGTTTTTCTTTCTTAATGCATATTCAAGTATCAAGCAAAATGTACCTACATTTGATTGATTTTCTAATTTACAGTATAACTTAAGAGGCAATATACCTCACCTCTAGTGAGCGGCCCAGCCCTTCGTATATTTTTCTGTATGGCCCTCAGTGAAAAAAGTTTGGACACCCATGACTTAGCACAATGCCCGGAAACAGGTGAAAAGCACTAGGATGCCTCGGTATGAAGGTAACAGAATCACCATTTTAGCAACTCTTGTGCAAAGAATAATAATAATAATAGCCAGAAAGGAGCGGAGTGCAGAAATAAAAACTAAATGGCTGTCTTTTTAAAATCCCGAGACGTATTGCTGATCTCATACAGAGATAAATCAGATTTTCTTTCAGAACAATGATCAATCACGAGGCAGGAAGCTAAGAATATTCCCCCCCCTCAGATCTGCAATCACACCACTAACTGCCAATCATTGTGTTCAACATAATGACTGCAACAACAGAGTTAAGCTCAACCTGAAGTAGTGACGACACTACGTACCTTCAGAGAACAATGCAGCTGTTGAATGCAGCTGTTGATTGGAGGGGCTCATGGTTCCTGACTCCTTTACATTTCCCAGAATGCATCAGATCCACTTTTGGCAGCATAATGGTAACATGCAGGACAAACCCAGAAACAGACAATTTAGTCTTTCTTCAATTTCTTGGTAATCTTCATTGTTTGCTAAATCTGTGAGATTTTCTTAACAAAACAATGTGGAAATCAGAAATATCTTACCTGAAACTGCTCGAAAAAAGTCCTCCTGATATGATTAAACTCTTAATAAGAAAATCTAATCATGGTCAGAAACACAAATCCACTAGCTTGCAGATTAAAAACAATCACGTTTTAGCCGGAAATGTGTTTGAAGTAAAACAAATAAAACCCTTAACCCGAAAATATGAGTTTTTGGCTGTTGAGAATGGTTGGCATTTCACGAGCCAGAAATTATTCTTCAATTTTATTGGTAAATTAACATTGATCCGTTTGAAGAAAAATAACGAAAAGTTTAGATATTGAAAATCTTTCCTGTGAGTCTTTTGTGACATTTTCTGTGGCATCACCCTCCATTTCCATGCTAAATTCCAGCCAAAGTTAAGACTTAAACCAGCTCAAAGACTCCTATGGTCGTCACTGTCCGCCCATACAGAAAGATTAACAATATAATTGTCAACTAGCCAACGCTGTACAGGTCAGTCATATGAATATCATCATATAAGACTGCACATAGTGAATAAAGAGCGGTCATTCTTACAGCCCTGCTGCCTGATTGTCCCTCTGCCGCCCCTACATCCTCCCCCGAACTAATGATGACCTTTGATTCCCAAAAGATGTCAGGAAATGGGAGAAAAAAACGCAGGCGCACCCAATTAATTTAGGGTGAAGAGGACTGGAACGTGTGAGCGCGTCATGCTGCTGGAGTGAACGGTGAGAAGCTCCAGGAAGGACACGGCTCGGTATAATTAGGATTCAGGAGGGCCATTGTCAAAGATAATTAAATCTGACAGCCACTGTGGAGTAGAGAGGAAGAGAGCAGGAAACATCTTCAAACTACATGCTTCACTTTAACACAATTTCTACATTTCAATCTCTATATCTCACACACCCTCACACATAACGTGCACAGCCATCCATCAGCAACTACTTCGGAAACTGCATACTAGGCAATAAAATAGAAGACAGATTAATAGAGACAATAAAGGCAGCGGTTGGACACGTGCAGCAGCATTTTGAGACTCGAATCAAGATCAACAACGTTATCAAAGGTGACAATTTCAGCGCAGATGTGTATCTCAGAGATGTGTGTGTGAGGAGCAACTTCACTCTTTATTGTTTAAGTGGAATATGTCGATATTACTCGGCCAATTATGACTTCAGCCATTCCTAATGAGAAGGAATCCATCAATTGGATCAGAACGCAATTATCTAGTCCAACAATGTCTCGCTTGTGAATACCAGAATGTGAGTGTGTATGCAGTATAATAACTTTTCCTTCAATTTGATTTCATTTTTTCTGTCAGATGCTTTAAAGCTGGACTCAACGATTCGGTAAGATTGATCAAATTCAGAGAATAACCCCTCATGGTCCGTCAGCAATCCATTTTGTGAGTGTGCTAAAAGACAAATACCTCTGAAAATGGAGAACCAACTGGACAGAAACACACAACACTATAAATACTATAAGCGCAATGTCACTGTAGGTGGGACTAAATGGGTTTAAGGTCAAAAGAGAAAGTACCTATTGGTGATTTTTCAAACTCTTAACACATGGGACAGCTCTTTCCAAAAACAACAAGACATAATAACAGCTGTTACATTTATTAAAACTACAAAATCACCTCTGAATCATCATGAAATAGCTAATTTGTTTGTGTATTCTCCCTGTCAAGTACGTCCTGCAGGAATGTAAGATTATAACCAGTTGTTCACATGAATGGTTTAAAAAGGCAGTCACCTTTTCCTTCATCTGTACATATTTATTTTTAGCTTATTATTCACGTTGACAATCTATCGCTGAAATGCACAAATACACAGACCTTCAGTTCATAAATCCTTCAAAGTTGAAACCGTATTTTTCATACCAAACTTTACACACGTTCTGAATTCATTTCTTCATTTCCAGTTTTTCCCCAAACACAAAACAGTGGCTTGTTTACTGTGTGTGAAGTACCGGATGAGATATCTGTGGAGGCTGAAGTGTGTCATCACAGAGACCACAAGAGCCGACGTAGGAAAGGCACTTAATAGTGACAGATATATTCTGATTGGCTGAGTTCTTTTTGTTTTGTTTGGTGGGTTTCGGCTCTAGTAAAAAGAGAAATGGATGTGGCCATTTAAGAATACTGCTCTGTGAATTTCTGGTGAAACTCCTTGACTTTGTTGAGCAGGATCTTCAGCTTGTCTGTCGATGGCAAGATGGTCATTCTAGGAAGGAATAGGAAAGGAAAGGAAAGACAACATTAACATTTAAATGGATTTTCCAGAAACGCTTGAGAATCATCTTGGAAAAGTAATATTATGTCTCTTGTGCAAAGAATACCTTTAAAAACGATAAGCCTCCTTTACCATAAAGCCGTTTTTAGACATGGAAAATGTAACATTGATGGCATCAATCTGTTTAAGTGATGCCTTTCAGACATGGTTTTGACATTTTCGCCAATGTTTCTTGCAGTTTCATTCAAATATGACAGCACATTTACAGAAAGATGCTGCGACATTTAAACCATTCAGTCGTGTTTTAAATCTCTCCTGACCTCTACATAAAAGTAACTCTCGGGTCCTCATTCAAACACAAGACCAACATATTCAATTCACATTTATTTTCCAACAAAGGAACAATTATAGATGCTTTGGGCGAGGCATTTTTGGTGTCAAAGGAAAGACGAGCTGAAATGATTATTTGATTAATCAATTATCAGCAACAATCAACTGTTTATCACTTTTTTCTAAATGTTTTCAAGATCCAACAACACAAAAATATTCGGCAGGTCAATTTGGATATAAATGTATTTTGCCGCACTTTAAGAGAAATATTCATATTAAAATAGATGTATAAATGCTTGAGTGTTCTTTACCTGAAATGGTACGTTCCATCCCTCTGCCCGAAGCCGCTTCCCGGCACGAGGCAGATCCCCGTCTCCTCCAGCAGCTTCATGCAGTAAAACATGTCTGCCTGCTGACCTTTGTCCTGACAGAGAGACAATATAAACATGTGAAGTTTAATATTCTGTTAGCATGATTTTAAGAAGCAAGTATTTAGTCAGAAACCACTGACACAGTATAACCTTCATCCTTAAAGTATTGCACATACCTTTTTTACATTATTCCCATTGAGGAGCCTCATTTAAACGTTTTTTCTTCCGCTACATCTTTTATTAATTCATAACTTAATATGAAAGATTTCCAATTTGTACAAAAAAAATCTATTTAAAGCAGAATTGGACCAAATGAAAGCATAAATTGCTCTATTGAGCAGCTCTTTAGAATCAACAGAATTCTCTGAACTTCTAACATAAAATGAGGAATCTGAATGAATTACACTTTGCTCATACTGCGGTGAATCTTTGTTTGATTCTACAGCATATGGCAACAGAACCATTCATGTGTAACTCAGGTACGGAGCACAGGTGCCCTTGAGAGCTAAAGAAATGATTTCTTTGGCAGCACAAAAGCGTTCTGAAGGTTGAAACAAATAGAGATGTGTACTAATTTATGTTACAATTAGGCTTTTGTAAAACCTTTTAAAAACCTTAAGTGTTGCAGCCTTAGAACTTTAAGAGGGTTGGGATCAAGAACAAGCTTAATGGACAACAGCTCTTTTTAAACTGCACATGGTAATGTTGAGTGTTGCTAACAGGATGGTACTTTCTGAAGTGCGGTTGTATGAGGTTCTTATTCATAGTCAGTAGATGACGGTCAGCACACCCCTAGTTTGGAGAAACGGACAGCATGGAAGCAAAGCATTGTGGGTTGCTGTGGACTTGGAGGTAGCAGCAAACACATGATTACTCATCTAAAAGAAAGGCCAACCTAAAACATTGGCAATATCAGTTTAAGTGTACACAATATTTGGACTTCTTTACCTTGCCATCAGACAAGAAACAAAAGAAAAAAGCTGGCTCTTGTTAGACCTGTAATATCTCTGATGTGCAATAACACTGCCTGTAAACAACATGCTATGCAATACACACTCATGCGCAATACACCAGCTATGTTTGTCTTCTAAATGGTCACTTAAAAATATACTGCTTCTTAGTTTTTGACCATGGTGTATTAATCTGTTATCTGTTTTTACTTTTAATAATGTGTGCCTACTTTTTTTTATATAATATGTAAGTCTTTTTATTTTAATCTGTGCTGTAGTTTAGCTGTTGTAGTGTCGTAAATGTCACTGTTGCGGGACAAATAAAGGAATTCTAATTCTGAAGTTGAATGATGATCAACAATCTAAATATACCAAACATTTAAACTAATAGTTTCAACTGATGTTTTGCTGCTGTCCTCATCCACAGCAGTACATTGGCTAGCTTCTATGCCAGTACTCCTCTCTGTTTTGTCTCAGTCTACTGTTGGTAACACACTGACTATGGATTAGTACCTCATACAACCCTGTTTCAAAATAGCCAATATATCCCTATAAGAGCTGTCTTTATGCGTTGTCTTGGGGAAAAACCGGCACCAAAAAAGCAATGCTACAATTGATGAGCTGTACCCTGACCTTATCCTCTGTACGGCTAATCAGATTCCCAGTGGCTCATCAGCCCTCCCTGAAATTCCTACTGAGCAGTAGGACAGAATTGAAAGCACAAGCTATTGGAAATCCTTTCTTCCCTTTAACAGGGGGGTTGATGCTCTGTTTACTGAACCTGGTTTAAAGCGTCGTGTACGAGATGTAGGTATTGTGTAGTGTTCGAGGTCATGGAGAGAAATAATGGATGAAATAAATGAAATGAGAAGTACAAGACAAGTGGCAGTGGTGTGTACAACCTATTGAATAACATGCTCCTTGTCAATGTAATTTCCTTGAAGCAGTGACACAGTTAAATTCAGCGTTTATAAAAGAAGGTTAAGGACTGACCGTGGCCTCCTTGATGGCCTTTTCAGGGATGGAGATGCGAGGGAAGGAGTACATAGCGCCCTGCACAGGGTTGCAGCTGATCCCATTCACTGTGTTGAGAACCTGCTCTGTAAGCTTGGCCTTCTCCGCTAAGACACTTAAGGTCGCGGTGCGCTCCTGGATGAGGGAGAGAGGCGAGAAAGATAGTTAGAAAAGAGAGATGTATCTACATTTAGCAAATGCTCAATGTGTAATGCAAGGGGTTGACTATACTAAAATAGATTTCCTCTTGTAGCAGTTCCTTGTGTTGTTAACGAAGTATGGAAACAAATGTTTAGATACAGAGAAATGTGTGTAGTGTTTAAAAAATAAACAATTCTAAAAAGGAGTGTTGCACGTGTAAACAAAGATGATATAAATGCTATGAGCGCAATAATTCAACTTCTTACACTCAGAATATAGTCACACCTACACAAATGTCCACCTTATTTTTTGGAACCACAATATAATTGGACGTGATATGATATACCGAATATGCCCTGTATTACAAAGTGATTTCAGACAGAAACACGTACATGTAAAGTACTTTATTCTAAAAGTCTGGTAGCTATAAACAGGGTTCATACACTTTTTCACCAATGATTTTCCATGACAAAAAAATTACTCCTTCTCAGCGGTACAACTGAAAATGGTTTATTTTAACATGGAACAGGAAAATAAGGTCTGCATATGAAACATATTGTGCCTATCTAAAACAAATCCAATAGTAGGCTTACTAGCTTCTACAGGCTAAAGCAACTCAAATCTCTCACCAGCAAAATACCTCGTCAGTTAAATGCCATTTTACGTTTCATTACTATACGATACAGTATTTATTATCATTATAGTATTACTATTTCGGCGATTAGATCAAATATAAATTATATTTGATGCAACTTTAGTTAAATTTCCATGACTTTTCCAAAAATATTGTTTTCCATAACTTTTCCAGGGCCTGGAATTAGCATTTTGAATTTCCATGACTTTTCCAGGTTTTTAATGACCGTAAGAACCCTGTATAAACTAAAGCAAAATATCATTGTTTTTAAATATGTGTTAAAATGTGTCAAAGAGAAACTGTAATGCAGCCAATTAGAGGAATACAAAAAATGGATCACTCGGATAAATCTATAATCAATAGTAGTGAACTGTGTTGCAAGGACAATGTATGACAGTACCGGTGTCAGTGTATTGAAAATGTTCCTGAAGAGAGCATGTCACAATGAGACGTAGACTATGTACCTTCATAAACTTGTCATACGAGGGCTCCCCGATCTGCGGGGGGTTGACCACCAGGTCCATCAGAGCCTGTCCAGGAACAGGAGGACACAGACGGACGGACACCAGCTTAGTGAGCTGAGCCCTCACCTCCTCGTCCAAGTTGATGATCTCCATGTAGCCTCCACGGAAGCCGCACCTAGGAGGAAAACATAAAGGTGTGATACAGAAATTAGGTAACAGTCCAAACTAACTAAAGAGAAAAATGTTTTAAGTCTTGTAGCATGCAACTGGAAAAAAGCAGAAGAACTGACATTTACAGCAATTTCTAAATCCAGGATACAAATATTTCTACATTCATGTGCCTTCTTTTGAGCGACCATGTTTAAACAATGGTCTAATACTTATAATCCATTAATTAAATTACCTTCCGTTTTACAGAACTTTTTAATGTACTTTGTGCTGTCTTTAATCATATTTGATGTATGGGTCTTTGTGTTTTTATTTATGTAAAAGCAAACTGAATTGACCCTGTGAAATACAAGTAAACAAATATAAAAACAGAGCATGTTACAGTAAATACATAATCATTTGTTATTTCTACAAGATAAGAAAGATTTATCCCAGAATGTAGTACAGTAAATTGGACTTACTCTCCCATGTAACATTTGGAGGTGGAGTGAAAAGATGCCAGTTCCACTATATCCGAGTACTCCGGCCCCATGTCGAACAGAACCTTCTTGAAGGAGTGGAACTGGCAACCCTCAGCGTACACATTGTCCTGGTACACCTGGAAGATAAAGTCAGAATGACAGCTGTCACAGGGCTCACAAAACATTAAAGCAGGCAGGTGTTAAAGGAGATGCAGAGAGACAGTACCTCATCGGCCATGAGGAAGAGGCGCTCCTTTGCAGCAAATCGGATTACATCCTCAATGCACTGTCTGCTCTGAACCTGACCTGTGAATGAGAGAGGAGGCTCATTAAGGAGAGGGGTTTGAAGGGAGGGTCAGCCAGGAAGTTACATCCTCTTGCTGCCATCTAGTGGCTCTTATTGAAGCAGTGCATGGAGAGTTGGGTTATGGAGATACGTAGGAGGAAACTAAATCATGAGTTCACCTCATGCAGAAAGGATCTGATTTTAGGTTACTTAATTCATGGCATTCTGGTGGCCCAAGTGCAGCGGTTCTCAAACTGTGGTCGGCGGACCACTGGTGGTCCGCGAGGGTACTGCAGGTGGTCCGTGGAAAAAAGCTAAATAAAATCCACTTTTTATTATTAAGGATTTTCGGGGAACACCTCCTATGTGACTTGCTCTATCGAAATCAGTCGCATTGACCCGAAGACACATTTTGAGTTGTATACACTGTTGGAAAGAGGAGATTTCTAGCTTTCTAATGATATCAGGATTGTTTTTGTACTACAAATATTAAGCAAAATATGCAGAGTCGCTGTAAGGGGGTGAAAAGTTAGGACGATTCTAAGGGCCCGTGACTGACAGGGGCCCAAACTATTTTAGAACATTAAGAAACAAATGTTTAAGTAACCTTTCATCATTCATCAATAATTAACATTAATAGGACGTTATATTGATAATGTACTCACTAAACGTATGATTCATTTAACTTATTTTCTTCCAAAAGTTAATTATCCAAAGCCTCTGTACACCCCCTTCTATATCACATGTAATTGTTTGGTCCTGCCTCCAACCGTGGTGCTGCACCGGCACTTTCTAGCAGAGAGTGAGAGCATGTGAGGACGGATGCTAGTACTTACGTGTGTACCATGTCTTAATGACTAACAAAGTCAGGCTTTCAAAAAAGAAAAGAAAGGAGAGAAAGACAAGAGAGAGGGACTTAAGGGCAGCATTTCAAAACCACCGCGGGGGGGGGGTGCAGAGTGTGAGCAAGACCTGTCACCTTCCCTTTACAAGCTTCAAAAATGTATTTATCGTGTGATTTTGGAAATAAAAGTTTCATAATCTGAAAGCCAAGACTTTGTTTATTTAAAATCTAACAAAACACCCGAACACCTTATTGTACACGTTTATATTAATTTATTTGATATTCAGTGTTCTATGATTGTATGCTACAGGTAGTAGGCTGTCATTTATTAAGTTCCTTTGATATTGTAAACTTTGTGTTATGCGTCTCTTTCCTGCAATATCGGATGTTGAAAGAGCTGAAGCTGCAGTTCATGTTCGCTGATGCAGCTGTTGTGTTCTATGATTGTATGCTACACATTTGAATATATGGTCAAGGACCAAAAGAAAGAAAGAAGTTGTCCGCCGTCCTCTTTGAGAAACATACACAACGCAGACAGACACCGGTCACACGTGCGACAAAAGTATCAGATAGGCTTCAATTCACTTTTGATTGTCTATAATTAACTATAAAAAAATATCGGCGTTTTAACACTACGTTTATATATGTACTTATTTTTACGGTTTGCATATGAGGTGGTCCGCGAAAATCCTGTGGTTAAGGATACTTACCATATAGCCTTAACAACTTTAAGCAGATTCAAGCAAAAAAATAATATTTGATTTTGTTTTTGCATAGCCCTTTCAGCCCCATGTTTTTTGTCTCTTTCTCTGTAAATGTTTCAAAAAGGCCCCAAAAATTATCAATAAAAGCACTTTAATCTACAAACTACATTAGAGATAATAAGTGGTTGCTAAATTGTCCTAAAAATAAAAAATAATTCTGACTTAGTTAATAGGTTTACAACACCATCTTGTGGTCTTTTTTGGCAAATGTATTTTAATCAAACTACCTATTTCCAAGGTAAAAGAGGTCATATTTAACTGCTAAAACATTTCAAATGAAGAATATTATTGTTATATTGTATGGTTTATCTCCTAAAACCGACAACTTGATTATCAACTTGCTGAACAACAGAATTCAATATGTGAAAATGCTTGAATTTACTATGGGTCTAATAATCGAACAAAACAATGAAAGGTCTCTTTACCGGTGGGGTTTCCAGGGTTGATGACGCAGAGGGCTCGGGGATTGCAGTGACGCCGGGCTTCATCCAGGGAGCGCTGCAGCTCGCTGAGGTCCATACTCCAGCACTTTTCCTCATTAAGGTAATAGTTGACCTGCACGGCGGCCAGTTCAGCCAGCGCAGCCGAGTACAGCGGATACTGAGGAATGGAGATCATGACCCCCGTACGGGTCTCACCTTCGCCACACACCAGGAGCTTCAGCATGGTCTAAAAGTGCAGGATATGAAAAGATATGTCAGCTGTATGTTTTAGAATTGTAAGTACAAGGTAGCTTTGTCTGCATGACACTTTCTAGGCGTATACAACTGTAGAAAATGGTCTGAAAAGAAGCAGGTGCCCCAGCTGGTGGTCATTTGCATCTGTGTTTTGTCATTAAAAATCTCTTTGCTTTTATAACAAATTTAAAAACACATACTGCAATACTAATTATTCACTTTTGTAAACCTTTCAGGACAAAAAAGGAAACTATTTGCTATTAAAAACTACAAAAAGGAAAACACCCTTCTGAAACTCCTAGACACAAAGCTCTTAGATAACCTATGACAAGGGGTTGTGAGTATGTTATTACTGGCTTTGAAAGGTCACAAGCCAGTAATGTGTTTGAGCATCAGTGACCTAATTGCAGCACTGTTTTTGCACACATAAGCATTTCATCTCCTGTGATGTGTCCTTTAAAAAGAGTGAACCAACTCATGAAGGGTTCACTCCAGAATATTTGTTTAATTTGTTCAATGTTGTAAATAAATTCCCCACAAAATTACTGAGGAATTAGGGAGGTTTGAGCTTACAAACATACACAATTGAAAGTACAATTGAGACACAAAGTCAATTTAAAAGATGAGACATGTTTAGTACCACAATGCCGTCGCTGGCCCCTGTGGTGAGAAAAATGTTGTCTGGGTCGCAGGGCACACCGCCATCTCTTCGCTCAATGTAGCGAGCCACATCCTGTCGCACTGACTCTATGCCCTGACTGGCACTGTAGGAACCTGAGGGAGATTTAAATGGGGACAAAACAACTTAAAAGCTTTAACATAACAAAACTAATCCCACAGAATTAAACCCACGTACAAAGAGAAAGGTGATAATTGTCAATTGGGGATGTAATAAGAGGTTGCGCTTATGTAAGAAACCAACGCACCCATACTGTTCCCTCCACAGGACTGCAGAATGCGTCGTGCTCTACTTTTAGCATCCTCTGGGAATGAGCTGTCATTCAGCAGTTCAGGGTAGGAGCACAGCGCCAAGACCTTGAAACAAAAGGGAGGTGTGAGGATAAAGAAGGGACATTCTGCAAAACACGCACAGATTAATGCATAAGACAGGAAAAATATATTAGACATCAACTTCGCTGAGTAAGCATAACATATTTTTCATAGAAACTGAGAAGTCAGAGGGGAGGTACTACATTTAGACTGGAGGTTGGGGGTGAGGATTAGGTGCAGACCTGTCTGAAGAAGGTGATTGGCTGCTGGCCCATAGCATGCGCGTCACCAATGTTGGCCTTGATGACCTCAACAAAGGGCTTCTTCATTCCCTGCATGGCACAAACACAACATGGGGAAAGGATTATACATCTGGAAAAAGTTTTAGCAATCACAACATTTATTGCTTTGTACAAAACAACTATAGAATTATCATTTCAGAGATTTAAAGTTAATAAACATGAGAAGAGGCTGAACAACCTTGGCCCTGCGCCCACATACAGAGACTTGAACACCTACATACGTTTTCCATAAATATTCATGCCATAAGAGGCTGCAGCTGCTGAGAGCACAGCGCGTTTGGTGGTTAACACTTTGAGAGACGGAATAGATGGCATTGTTGGTTTGTTTGAAGCAGTGAAGTACTAAGCACTGTAAAGAAAGAGTGAAATAAATATCCACTGAGCTCAAATTAAATTAATCCTAAACAACTATTGGCAATATCAACCCTTCTGTATCATGTCGCAAATGTTAGAATTTTAGAAGCCTTTTCGAGGACATTAAGGGGTCCAATAGATGACAACATGCAGGCCAAAATGCCTTTTAACAGACCATTAGATAGAACAGACCATTAGCAGAAACAAAGCATACACAGGCAAAATCAAATGTACAAGTCTTACAGCACATTTTATACACACTATATTTATCAGACAATAGCACGAATAAAAGTTAGAAGTTATAGTTGAAATTTTGTCAAAATTCTTTGTTGTTTTCTTTAGGAGTAAGTGTGTTCATTTGTACGAACATTTGTTGCGCAATTGTGTCATTTATTCATTGTCCCGTAAATAATTAATTTGAATGAATACTCACAAAAGTGAATATACTGTTAGGCGTCAAAGATTCATTTTGATCCCTTACTTATTTATTTTCTTCTCATACACACATGCACGTGCATTTGCAACAGCCTTGATCCAGATAGCACTGTATGTGCACACACGGGAACAAAGTTTGACCAGTGCACTTGCTTATCACACTGATACCATTAACCTTCTGACACAAAGACTGAGGCCGTTTCTCAATGTCGAGTAAACCTGCTGCAGAGCCACTATTTCAAGTATACTACGTAATCGAGTGGCGCCGAAAGACTGTTTAAATGCATGTTAAATGCCCAGCATTCGGCGCCACTCGATGACGTAGTATACTTGAAATAGTGGCTCTGCAGCAGGTATACTCGACATTGAGAAACGGCCTGAGACTTACAGTGCACAGTTGCCTTTAACCTCCTAAGTGACTTTAGACTGGAAAGGAACAGTATGTATTACAGCAAAGCAGTAAACAACGGCAACAACAACTACAATAATACATCCCCAAGTAAAAGTATCAATTTACTGTCTCCCAAGCCAATAATATGTTTCTGAAAGATAATCTCCCAAGCAGCTGAGACAACTGACAGACAGAAATGCAGTTAGCCACGTGCACAAACACAAGCACCCACACATGATGTTAATAACAGATGTTCAGAACAGCGTGACCCTGCAGAAAAATACATAAGCAGAACCTCACACTGACAACCTGCTGAAATCAAAACAGCATGTTTATTGTACGTGTCCAATGGAGTGCAGATTTTAGGAGGATACAGAGTCTGGCTCCCCCATTGGTCGCACATTAGAGGCGTCTCTCAGTCTGGACCAATAACATTGTATGGAGAGAATAACACCCCTAGGTCAACCACCCCGATGGGGATCTTTTAGAAACACACTGACCTCTGACCGAAAAAACTGTCTCCAAAAGGCCAGTTGTTCTCCACCGTAGATAAAACATCCCAGCAAACAATGCAGAAGGTTAAAACGGTGCTTTTAAAGTACAGCACAGGAAGTACTCATTTTTACTCCAAAGACTTTCCAAGAAAAGCTTTTCATTAATGACAAACAGTGAAAGTCATTGTGAAAAAGGATGTGACTTAGGCTGTTAGATGTATATTTTGATGAGAAGCTAGGATAGAAACTCACATAGCATTTGCAAATACACTCAATATTCAAATTAAATATTTGAAATGCAAATATGGAAAACGTTTTTAGAGTTCTGCTTTTTGCATTCATTGAAAATATGTAGAGAGAATTTAACAAAAACAAGCCTTGTGCGTTTACTGTCTGTCCCCATAGCAACGCTCGGAAAAAGATCCCCATTCACAATTATCTAACAGCTCATTAGGACAAACAAAGACCACAATGTAATAACTTCACGAGGAGCCTTTATTTGTGCTCTTGTTAACTGGTAGAGCAAGTTGGCTCAAAGTGTGACCCGTTTCTATTCACTGTGCTGTAAATCGGATACTATGGGAAAAAACACAAGAACAGGGCTGCATTTGTAGTGTATAAAAAAAAACAAAGAGATCAGTTCCGAAAAACAAGGTGTGTAGGAAACTGGAGTTGGGTATCTGTGTCTGATTAATCCACGGATAAAGGTGAGAATGCATTGTGACCCGTTTCCCAAAGAAATGCATCACCATCCAAACCGCAAGGGAGGGGTTTATAAAATGAAGAGGAATGTGTTTTGGACAAAACATCAGCATTGAAAGTTGTTAGAAAAATATCACTCGTCACCGGCTTGATCTTCAATATCAGGATACATGTCTTTATTATCCTTGCAAGAATGGAAGTAGTCATCACATACACCAGGTTGCATGGGACAAAAGAGTAACTTTAGTAGAGTCCTTCATATGCTTATATACAAGAGAGGGTGTTACAGTCAACAAGATGGAAGAATACTGGTTCAAAGCAGTATTCTGACATTAGTTAAAGGGGACCTATCATGCAAAATGCACTTTTGTACGTCTTTTATACATGAATATGTGTCCCTGGTGTGTCAGGGAACTCACCAAGTGTCAGAAAACACAACCCTCTCTTTTCCTCCATACCCAAATCTCTAAAAACGGGGCTGCAACGGAGCCGATACAGATTTGAAATTGTTCTGACGTCAGAAACAGGGAGCTCCGCCTATATGGGCAACTCTCCACCCATCAGGGGAATGGGGGGTTGGGCCACGGCCATTGCCACTCGAAAGCGCTGGAGACGCTGTAGTACATATGCCAGGCCTGTAAGTGGCGCTGTAGTCTGCCACAAAAGCAGCGAAGAAGACTTCTCACAGAATCAGCCCTTGCAAAAACAGGGCTGGAAAAGAGCAAATAGAGCAAAATGAGGCATGGCTAAAATGCATGATCCGTTTGGTATTTTGAAAAAAAAACTTCACAGACATGTTTTATATAGGTATGGCCCTACAATATATTATTCAAATATAGCATGATAGGTCCACTTTAAGATTAGCTAAGGCCTGCGTAAGCATAAACATGACCGTCATATGTCTATCTCTCGAGTGTCTGTGTCATCATGCCAATCTTAGGAACATAGCCATCATAACTTCAACAGTGTCTCATGAGCGTCATCCATGTAGTCATACATCCGGCTATGTACACAACTACGTAGGGCCTCTGTTATCATGTGCTACTCTGATATAGAAGGAACATTCAGTATTTTCCCAACAAAAGTCTAAATTATGGGATCATTTTAAATGATTACTGGCAGCGGGACAATCTTCAGAGAACAGAGACATTTCAGTACTTCCCCTATCCTAGAAGGAAATAAAAATGTTTACCATCTAAATCAAACTGCATTTTTTTCTCATTTTTAAACAAGTATGATTTGTATCACACCTGATCAAACTCTTGTACAGTAGGAAGAAAATAAATATACCATTAAGAGAGAGAGGATCAACTCCGGATAAGTATTGACCTAGTCAAAACACTCCCTAGTGGCTCTTTGGAACCTGTGGAACAACCTTTTCAAAATACTCGTTCCTTTCCTGAGCAAAGCACTCAAGAGAGGACTGTTTTCACACCAGACTGAACTCGGTACACTAAGCGCTGGTTGCCACATCACCATAAACTGTGTGAGAGGAAGGGATGAAAAGTATCTTTGAAAAATAATAAAATAACAAAGAACAAGCCTGTATTTATAATGGATATGTTTGTTTTCCAGCTGTTAAGATAACCAGTACCATATCTGATTGCTTAGCAAAATTGACACTTTACCATTGAGGACTGTAAGAGGTCAACTGAGGCAACATATGATATATTATATTTGCATCACATGTAGGTCAGACAGATATAAAAAACAGTATCTGGTTTAGTATGGAATTTCACCTCCCACAGAGGGTCACTTTATAACAACTGTGGTTCAGAGACAGGTCTTAAAACAAGGTTAGCCATTAACATGATACTAACCAAAGTTTCCAAACTACAGATTTGCTGACATGATCAGCCTCCTCAGGAACTACTGACTAACTGACTTTCATAAGACGGTGTGTAAGCAAGCAGCACAGCAATTGATAACAGTTTTCTTTTGAGGTAAAGTTTAGTAATAGTGAGAGTGTAAACAGGAATTGAAATCTGCTGGTTTCATTTTTACAAAACCATTCATCAGCAGGAAATTTGCATAGTCTCTTTAAAGTGAAAACTGTGAAACTGAATCAAATCTTGCATTTTTAAAAGGATTTTCTTGAAAGAGATTTGAAGTTCCACCAATTCAAATGAATATAAACACAAGTCAAGTTCTAACTGATATGATTAATAGTCTTAAATTAGTCTTTTATTTTAAATACAGCAACACAAAAACAACTTAACTTATTTTGATATGTTCTGGGCACATGTACATGGTCTATGTACATCTACAAAATATACACAACTTGTTGCCACATTCTATTTAATAGAAGGATGGGTTGATGTAATGAAAGACAGATATAACATGTTTGGAGTGAGTTTTAAATACAAAGAGCAGATATTGTCCATAGAGATGAGACAGCGTGTACAAACCTCAGAGAGCTCCCTCTCCAGCTCCAGAGCCCGCTGCACGATGGGGCCCCGCACGGCGTACTCCACGTTCTTCACCGTGGGGTTCATGTTGTCGATGGTCAACACCTTGGCCCGGGGTGACACTCCGTTCTCGGACATTTTCTCTTTGGGGAGCCCACGCCGCGTCGCACTCAGACTCGACAAAGCTCTGCCGGGAGAGGAGGACGACAGAGGGGGAGAGGTGAGTGAGCAGACCCTGGGGCCAGCCCCGGCTAACAATTCGTTTCGCCCCCGGCTCAAAAGCCGCACGTTTCGGGGTGACAGCAGCTGCATTCGTGTGGCTGACATTTTTTGTTCAGTCACGGCCTTCTTTCACAAGTTGGGGAACTTGTAAAGCCTCTACGGTGCACAGCGAATTGCACCACGGCGGTCACTTCTCTCGAGAGGAGTGAAATCAAAAGTTGTGACACCACAGAGCTCCTAAAAATGACTAAGCGCCCAGACCTTTGGACCTTGAGCCTACAAAGGCGGCTCCGATACAAATTGTGATTAAATCCAAGGCTGTTTCTAAAGACACTGGCTGCGTCCACATAAACTGACTGCTTCTCCCTCCGAAATTATTGGGGTATGAATCCTGCACACATGGCAACACACCGCCAGACCGACCGTATCCCTCCTCTTTGTGCGGCCCGTTATCCCACCCTCCTCTCCTCCTTTATTTTACGCACCGTGAGGCTGTCACTCAGGCTGTGTTCTCCGGTTACCGAGCTGAAACAGTTGAGGGCTTCAGACGAGGGTCGTTGGGATATCGCCAGAGTTGGTCCCGGGCTCCCTGACTGCACTGAGCCTCTTTTTGTTCTGGGAGCTGCGGTTTGGGTGCAGACTTTTTAGGCTTCTTTGTAAACAAAACAATAATGAATGCTCCTCCTATCTCTACTACACCCCACTTACATTTCTGGTTGAATGTTAATTCCTTTGACCAAATATAATTGTGCTATCAGAATAATTAGAAAATGCTCAAATTCACAGGATCACAAACTGAGCATGAAGAGCAGGGCACATGTGTTTTTCCTTTGTACTGGGATGTCACAAATGACATTCGGTATAAAACTCTGGGCCTTCACATCTAAAAGTGTGACTTCAAAAAGTTTCAAAAATCATCAGTGCAGGTATGAACAACAGACAGCACTGCAACTATCATTACATGACGTATTCATGAAATTATTGTTTTGTTTATAGTCACTATAATTTCAGCGTTAAGTGGTTGGGAATACATATAGTTTTGTTAACTCACATAAGACAACGGTTGTAGGTATGACTTATAGAATGGACTTCTTGAAACATGCTTTTAATAGTTTTTCTTCTTAAAGTGAAATTCACATATTTACCCCGTACAGTCTGTGCCAAGAAAATGTCAGAGGACAAAAAACATTATAAAAGTGTTTACTTTCATAGGTGAGTTTAAATTGAAATGCTTATTAACCATTGAACTGTCTGAGGAATTGCTTGTTGCATTTTTTTGTTGTCAAGTAGTTTATTTCAAATTCTACAGTCCAAAAACTTTGTTGTGTAGATATCATCAAATACAAGCCAAACATTTTCATTATCATTGTGAATAGATCATTCAAGACCCTCTGGATATAACAAAAACATATTTAGGATTCCAACTACAACATTGTTGAGCCAGAATGATTAAGAATGTCTACAAAGCATTATGTAACATTTAACCATGATGCTCAAATACAGTCAAATCTTACTAAAAATGTTGGTATTCAATAAATCTAACACTTAATTCTGAAAAGGGCCTTTCAGTCAGTGAAGTTAGACGCAATGTGCAACAGTGACTTATTTCCTGGATGTAGAACAAAGCAGTTCACTGGTTGGACAATTTCCATTGCTTTCGAATAATGCCAGATTTAAATACCCGAGTAGTTAAGTGAAAATAACCAGTGATAACCTTTTCTACAGTTCATCTTTAACCAGTGGTGTGCTTATGATTGTCTTTACAAAATATGGACAGATGGAGGCACATTTTTGCAGCAATCAATAGGGTTAAATAAGAAAATCTAAATAGCAGCAGCTGGTTCACATTTAAGTATTATTTTAGTCACATTGATGGTTCATGGACAATCAAGATGTGCTAACAATTTCAATAATTCTATTAAAATCCAGTGGCACCAACAATATCAGAGAGAGTCTGTGTGGCCACTGTACGCAATGCAAAGGTGGGCACTGACAGTGGGGCGAGCAGAAAGAGCTGGTGCTGCGGAGTCTGAAGTCCATAGCTTTTGCACTCTTCTGTAACTAGATAGCACTGCAGTGGCTGGTGGGAGAATCCAAGGACAAAGTCATCAGCGTTGGCCCTCTGAGCCCTCTCCTCAGGGGACACACACAAAGTCTCCTCCTGGTTGAAGTAGCGTGTGGTGCTGAAGATGTAGAAGAGCTTCAGTATCTCCCAGCAGCGGGCCTTGGAGGGTAAAGGAGGGTCACCCAGTGGACGATTAGTGGAAGTCCGCACACAGGAGACTGAGCGACGTGTTTCACGGTTAATCAGAAGTAGTGCCAGCACATCAGGGCGCAAGGATACAGATCTTGGTAAACTGTGTTCTCCAACAGCCAAGCAGTCTCTCAGGGTCTCCACAAGAGGTGTCCAGAAACGACCCACCATCCCACTCTCAGCGCTGTGCAGGGAAGGCGTTGGGCCGCACAGCACGCACACATCTGCCCCAGGTAGCAGCTGGAAGCGAAGCAGGCGGTGGGCAACAGTGGGGCTGCCCTGAGGAAGGAAAACTGGGTAATCACAAGAGGCTGATCCAGAGGCAGAGAGGGACCGTATCAAAGCCGAGAGCAGCACAACCTCCGGTGGAGCCAGACGCCACCATTTCTCAGTTGCTGCAGCTATCCGCCCATGGACGATGAGGCAGCCAAATTCACTGTCTGCAGCCTGAGCGAAGCCATCCACGGCCTCTTGAAGAAGAGTGGGGTTTGGAGGCAGCAGTGAATCCGCACAGTGTGTCAGGTTACCCAGGATGCCCTCTTGCCTGTCCTCCAACAGTTGATCAATGAGGCTGAAACAGGACCGCAAGTCCCTCTTCAGTCTCTCAACATTTCTGACATTAGTCAGTTCATCCTGCCCCAACACCAGCACCATGCAGCTCCATACATTCTCCAGGAGCCGCTGTAAACGCACCTCGTCCTCTTTGCTGTCACCTGCACCATCTTGTCCACCTCCACTCACGACAATGAGCATCATACTGTCCTGGAAAACTCTCCATACTACTTTACCCCCGCCTTCAGTCTCACAGCTGGACAACACTACTCCGTGGCCACCCCCAAACATGTGGACACCATTCAGGGAGCCGATGACAGAGAAGGGCAGCTGCTTGGAGGCTCCTCTTGTGAAGAGAGGAACCCCACTGCTGGCTGTGAGGCAGAGGAGCTGTGTGGATCCATGCTGGAGCATCATCATGCTAACTGTTGCTCGCTCTTGTGTTGTTTTCAACTGCAGCAGATTTTTTTATTAACTTAAGGTCTTCATTGAGTTGATTGTTGACTAAATCTGCTAACAATACGATTCTAGCGTCACATCAGTGGGCACTTTGTTAGCATCACGTAACGTTAAACCATTTCCTGCAACTGGCTAAAACCGGTACAAACAACGGCAAGACAATATATATCATACAAGTCAGCTAACCTATCTACCATGCTAAACATATTCTCCGTGGAACAACCATTTCCTTTTGTTAGCTAACGGTATTTAGGTTAACAAAGTAAATTACCGTCGTTTCCACAGTAACGCCGTCCCATGATTCATTCTTCACGATTGAGAGGGCGGCTTCATACTGCTGGTCGAGCTGCAGTTGGGATTTACGAGACCTGGTTTACCGCCGAAGGAGCGGGACGAGAGCACCGACCCGGGATCAGCGCCCGGCGTCCATGGAAGTGCCCATGGATCTGAATACCGTTAGTTAACTTCTCGCGAGAGTAAAAACCAAAAGCTCTGGGTTGATCAAAGGCTCACGCAACATGACGCTTGATGTTTCCTCTTGATTTTGACTCACCAGAGTAGAACAAAAGCACAGGTGTTACTAATCACAATAATTATTCAATTTAAACGATGAGTGACAGTAACCAGCATGCACACAATTAGGACCCTGAAACTGAATCAGATACATTTAATTTTGACATCCTTAAATCTATTATTTACACCTCCATCTGCAACAAGTAGAAACGTATTTTTTGAAAATGACCTATGGAGTATTTTTAACAAGTAGAGACATCCACCTCAGGTCATAATCTCCTTCAACTCATTTTTGTTGTCAAGCAGTGGCTCACAAACTGATCCAGCAGATTGGCCCAAAAATATATATATTTGTGTTTTCTGTTCTGTCTTGTATTGAAATATAGGAAATAGATGTACGTTTCATCATCTGAAAATCAGATGCTTTTTATTATTATTATCTCAAAAACACATACTGTACAAATACTGTACTTCTGACATATGGTAGACAGTTACGTTTGTTATACAATGTTGTAAAATAATTTGCAGCGTAGCAAAAAACAGAAAATGCCAACCAATACAGCATGGAGTAGTAAAGAATGTTTTTTTATTCATTAAATACAAAAAAGTCCAGAACAGTGATGACTAAAATAGAACAATAGAAAAGGCACAATTATTTACTGAAAAATCACACTGTGCCATGAAAAATAAAACTGTCTCCTTTCTTCTACTGTGGCTGAAAATAGATGGTCATCTTCCTGACATGATTCCAATGTGTTCTACACTCGAGAGATCCCGTGGCAGTATAATGGCTTGGCATGAGGAGCAGTGTTGAGGTCAACTTTTCCCTGTAGCATCAAAATGAAGGCCTGCAAGACAAGAAAATAAAAAAGCCACACAAAGAAAATGATTATGCTTATGATTTAACCCTAACCCAAAAATATTGCAGATAAATGTAATAAATCGTTTAAATCTATCAATGATAGGACTTAATGTATTGTACTATAATACGCTGCTGCATATTTTGTATATCTTATATTATGTAAATACAACATTATGAATTGCTACTGATTAATAAAAGGTCCATCTATCCATCTATCTATCTATCTAAATGCTACCAAACCTCACACTAAAACAAATTGTTTTTGGAAAGATATAGCATGTTTGATCATTTTGAAGAGTGAGCATAGCAAAGAAGTAAATTAGGCTTGAGATGTCTTGGAAGTTTTTGTGGATATTTAGATAGTTATTCCAAACTCTAAAAATGTAGTGTAATTTTCAAGCTAACCACAGTTTGTTTGCTTTTTGTAATGAGAGGAAACCACTTAGATGTATCGATCAACTTACAATTAAACGCTTCTATTATAGTGAATGTTAGTTTATTCTATCCAATACATCCGCTTCTCATTAGACCTTTTCAGAAAAATACAGCACCTACTTGTGCTGTATTTATGGGTGTGTGACTGATTCCAAATGTCAACAGAGTGCCAGACTCACCATGAATGCAGTGGTTTCACAAGAAGGAGCAGACCTTCTGTGGCCTGAAAGGGTTGGTGCTGGAGGACACACCGGTGAGCAGAGGGTCCTGCAGGGCGTTCTGCATGCAAAACTGTTGAAGGTCTGCAGCTGCCTGGGAGACCTGGTGACAAAAGAGGAACCAAAGT